TATGCCACACCTCCACATAAAAGAAAAAAGTGCTAACTGGGACGGAGCACCCCCCCCCCCATAAAAAAAATAATAATTTAAAAGCACCAATGGTGGCAAAAAGGTTGGGGCCACTGCAGTTTTTGTTTTTTTTATGCCACACCCCCACATAAAAGAAAAAAGTGCTAACTGGGACGGAGCACCCCCCCCCCCAAAAAAAAAAATCTCCCAACAAACCCCCACTTTCCTACGCCACTGATAACTAACAACTGAGATAATATTGTTTATTCTCTTAACCAAAATCGGATATTTTATTATAATAAAAACTATTTATCCGATTCAGCGCCCCTCCGTATTCAAGCGGCGCCCCCCTCCCCCACGGCAGTTACTGAAGTATATCCTCCCCCCCCTCTCAAAGCACCCGTGTATGACTGGGCGTCGCTCACACATAAATGGCAGGGCGTCAAAAATAAATAAAAGTTCTTTCAAAATAACGATGCTTAAAGGAACAGACAAAAAATAACTTTTAAGAACACTGTTTCTCTATAGAACTGTGCAACAAGTGTGTCGTTTCACTACAGCTTTGAATGAAGGAGAAGTAATATGATTGCGTCATAGATTTCAGTGTTGTTTTCTTTGAAATAAATATCCACATTTTTTTGTGTGCGTAACTTATTTTATGTAGTTAAGGAAAAAGGATGTGACGTCACGTTAAAGAAAGGGAAAAAAAAGTTTCTATTTAATTTTAACCTTAATAGGATAGAATAATTTATAAAATCGGTCATTTTGGAAGATATAATTTCAATTGCTACGATTGAACAAGAACAGACAATCGTCCCGCATTGTATTTTGCCGATTGGTGCAGAATTCCTTCCAGGACTGGAGACCCAATAACAGAGAATATGTCACAGAATTCGGTTTTATACTGTATATCTTCTATCCCATCCCCACCCCCCAATCCCCCTTACCAATTTCACCTTACCCCTCTTGAATACAATTCAACTATTGCCCCAATGAATATATATATATATTACCAATACAAACTGCACGGCCATATTCTTGAGCAAGTTTCCTCCGTAAAGTACCTGGGTGTTACCATTCAAAGAGAGGTCCGATGGGATGAACATATTAACAATGTATGTAACCAAGCAAACAAGACCCTAGGGTTCTTAAGGCGAAATCTAAAGATTGGCAACTCCTGTGTGAAAGAAAGAGCATATAAAGCCTTTATCCGTCCGATTTTAGATTATGCATCTTCAGTCTGGGACCCATTTACCCAGAAGAGCATTGACAGGTTGGAGGCGG